ATTGGGACTTTGAGAATTTGGGACTATAGCAGTTTGGGACTTAAGTAGTTTAGGGCTATAGTAGTTTGGGACTACAGAAGATTGGAACCTTGGGAAGTTGAGACATTACAAGTTTGGGACATTGAGAGTTTGGGATTATGGAAGGTTGGGACTTTGGCAATTTGGGACTATAGAAGTTTGGGCCTTAAGGAGTTTGGGATTACAGAAGATTGGAACCTTGGGAAGTTGAGACATTACAAGTTTGGGACATTGAGAGTTTGGGATTATAGAAGATTGGGACTTTGAGAATTTGGGACTATAGCAGTTTGGGACTATAGTAGTTTGGGACTACAGAAGATTGGAACCTTGGGAAGTTGGGACAATACAAGTTTGGGACATTGAGAGTGTGGGATTATAGAAGATTGGGACTTTGAGAATTTGGGACTATAGCAGTTTGGGACTTAAGTAGTTTAGGGCTATAGTAGTTTGGGACTACAGAAGATTGGAACCTTGGGAAGTTGAGACATTACAAGTTTGGGACATTGAGAGTTTGGGATTATGGAAGGTTGGGACTTTGGCAATTTGGGACTATAGAAGTTTGGGCCTTAAGGAGTTTGGGATTACAGAAGATTGGAACCTTGGGAAGTTGGGACAATACAAGTTTGGGACATTGAGAGTTTGGGATTATAGAAGATTGGGACTTTGAGAATTTGGGACTATAGCAGTTTGGGACTTAAGTAGTTTGGGACTACAGAAGATTGGAACCTTGGGAAGTTGGGACAATACAAGTTTGGGACATTGAGAGTGTGGGATTATAGAAGATTGGGACTTTGAGAATTTGGGACTAAAGGGGTTTGGGACTACAGTAGTTTGGGACTACAGAAGATTGGAACTTTGGAAATCTGGGACTACTGAAGTTTGGGCCATAAGGGGTTTGGGACTACAGTAGTTTGGGACTACAGAAGATTGGAACCTTAGGAAGTTGAGACAGTACAAGTTTGGGACATTGAGAGTTTAAGATAATAGAAGGTTAGGACTTTGGAAATTTGGAACTACTAAAGTTTAGGACTTAAGGAGTTTGGGACCATAGTAGTTTGGAACTACAGAAGATTGGAACCTTGGAAAGTTAGGACAATACAAGTTTGGGTCATTGAGAATTTGGGATTATAGAAAATTGGGACTTTGAGAATTTGGGACTATAGCAGTTTGGGACTTAAGTAGTTTGGGGCTATAGTAGCTTGGGACTACAGAAGATTGGAACCTTGGGAAGTTGGGACAATACAAGTTTGGGACATTGAGAGTTTGGGATTATGGAAGTTTGGGACTTTTGGAAATTTAGGACTTTACGAATTTGGGACCATAAAACTTTGAGATTATGAGAATTTGAAAGTGTGGGGCTATAAGTTTGAAACTATATAAATAGACTTCTGATATTCAGAATTTTAGTATGTTGGAACTTCAGAAATACTAAACTTCAAAACTATTAATCTTAGGACTTTTGGGTCCCAAGTTTTGGGCCCGGTGAAAGTACTATATTTCACATAACTAATTCAAAATATTACCATTCCTAAAAGTGAATGTACACCACAAGATTTTGGGACTTCTTTGAACCAAATAATTGTTATACAATGAAAAAATTGCAAATTGCACCCTTAAAGCGGTGTTAAATAGAAACTTGAAGCAAGTGGTAGCGAGGTGGTTAAGTACATTAAATGCAATAAATGAAGAGTGTATATGTGTGAGTGCGATAAAGTAGATAGGAAATGGAGAAAAACGGTTCGAATTTGATAAAAAGCACAAAATTATCAGTGAAAATTTTCATTTGCTACTAGCAACTCGTCACGGTCGTACGCTATGCAATATAATGCGAGTGGTCCATCTATTGCGCGCTGCTGGTTACAAATGAAAATAATCTCCCAATATATTTCTTGCTCGTTGAACTTAGATATTTTAATTAATTAAAATTGTTACATTTTTATTTCTGTATAAATAATGCAACATGTTGATTTTAATAAATTAATGTAAATTAAGGAAATACAATTTTTTAAACCAAGATAATGCAATTGTGATTTTTATATAAATTTAGCAGGTAATTGTAATTTTAATTTTTACATAAAACAATTTTTGATGTTAATATGAATTAAGTATTTCTAGATTTTTACGTAAACCAAACAGCTATAATTTCGATTTTTATATGAACAAAATAATTTTGATTTGTACCACGTATAAATGAAATAAACTATAACCGCCAAATTGACCAAAGTTAATAACCAAAGTTTCTAATCAACCACCATATTTCTAACCAAAGTTACAACTATTTCTAACCAAAGTTAGAAATATGACAAATTGAAAAGCATGAGAAAGGTAACCCCGCAAGATGTCCGCTAACCTCGATACCGAAGCACCGATTGAAGATGGCGAAACCGTGGCTCCCCGTAGCGAATATACACATACATAATATATATATAATATATATAGATAGTAAATATGACGTATGACGTCCAAGACCAGCGCATCGCAGAAACGATTAACGGGTATCAAGGTGGCATTCTCTGATGGAACACAAAGAAACGAAAGTTGTCAACCAAGGATATACGAACAAATGAAACAGAAAAAGTAGGTAGTAGGACCGATTATTATTATATATGTATAATAACGATACGACGAGCAAAAAATGTTCAAATTCTGGCGATCGTGCTCGTTGCTGTTGGCGTTGGCACCTTAAAACCGTCATAGGTCCAGGAGCCTAACTTCAAAACACAGGTCTGTACGTCGTACGGAAAGAACTCAACGTCGATGGAGCAGGAGGATTTATATACGGCCGGCGGTTGCCAGACGACCAATCCCGAATAGTAGACGGTGGCCTTGGTCATCAGGGTCACCTCGTAGTTCCCGTCGGCGCTGGAATCACCGAAGAAACGAGCCGAGCGTGATCACGATTGGCTCATCGACGATCGTACGATGCTGCCCTTCCCATCTCGAGATGCACAAATGAATAGGCAGCATCCTAGCGCGGGCAATCGAGTGCCCCGGGCTCGGACAAACGAGTTTGGAAACGCGACGAGCCGATCGTTAGAGGGCTAGTCTAGTGTCTTATTACTATCGACAATCCGGGACGTATCGCGAGCTGAGGGCTCGATCCACCTCCCGATTGTCCGCGGATTTCTGCTCCAGCAACTTAGCGGCTACCATGCAAGTTTACCTTGAAGCCGTCATAGGTCCACGAACCGAACTTGAGGACGCAGGTCTGCTCGTCGAATGGGAAGTACTCCACGTCGATCTCGCAGGATGATTTATAAATGGCGGGCGGCTTCCACTCGACCAATCCTTGATGGTAGATGGTGGCCTTCGTGGCCAAGGTCACCTCGAAGTTGCCGTCCGCGCTGCGAGCGAGCACATTAGTGGTTCTGGGCGCTGCGGCGGTCGAGCTTACTTTGTACTTCCGATTCGATATCAAGCCGTTATTTGTTTTTAGTTTTTTTTTTTCTTATGTGTTTTTAACGCCGGCTAAAGGCACAGAGCGAACTTTGTCGATGAGCGGGCGGACGAGTTCGCTCGCTGACGCGGAAAACGAGATGAACCAAGGTGTCCAAGAAACCGAGGGTTTTTGTCGCGGACCGGCGATCAATGAGCTTGTGGCTTTATGGGTTGCGGTGTGGTGAAACGGGGGTCGATAAAATATTGAGTTGGAAAATGCAAACACATTTGCACCGAGTTGTTTATTGATTGCGCAGAGGTTCTCAATATTTTTTCAATTTCAAACGGGACTGTCACTGCGCGCGTCGTGAGATGTCTACCGGAAGCGCGGATTCAATTGAGCAGAGTGAAATGGACACGCCCAGATTCGCGTGTACCTTTGAGCTAAAGTGTATTGTTGGAGATTCGATTAACATAATGGTAATGTCAATTGGAATAGGCGTGTACGGAATATACTATCGGTTTCTGTAGCGGTACGAGACTTCTTGTGAGACACGCGCAGTCTGTGCATTTGCAGTATTACTGTTATTAGTGGTAGTAAGAAAATTGGAAAAACTTCAAACTTTGTAGAACTGTAATTTGATAAAATTGAGTAATGTTATTTATATAAAATTGGTTGAGAACCGCTGCTCTTTGTGCATCTTTCATTACTTGTAAAAGCTGATATATTATGAATAATTGAATGAACAAATTATTTACAAAATTTAATTTTGCAGGTATTAATTTCACAAAATTAATCATTCAAAAATTTTCAATTATGGAATATTGCATTTTTAGTTTAATTAAATTTTGTAGGAATTTGTTGAATTTTTTTTGGAGAAATAATTTAAAAATTACAAATTATTAATAATTGTAAATAAATACATATACCAACATACAAATGCATAAATATTAAAACGTAAATATGTAACTAATGAAATTTTAAAAAGTATAAATACACAAATATTTAAACAGTGTTTTCTAAATTTAAATATAAAAAATGTAAATGTAAACAAAATTTGAATAAACAACTAGATATTAAAAAATATGAGTACACAAATATTTAAACAGCGTCTCCAAAATACAAGTACAAAAAATATCAATAAATAAAAAAATAACTACATAATAAATTAAAAGTGTAACTACATATATGTTTAAACAACGTTTTGTAAATGTAAATATTAAAATGTGTAAATTAGATACTAAAAATTATTAATTATTAATTAAAAACTGAAAAGCGTTATTATTACAAAAAGATGATTACAATTAGGAAATAGCATACGATACATAATTTTTGAATAAACGATACCTCATCTGCTAATGAGATAAACAGATATTTGATCGACCCACGATAATACAGTTGCTTTTAATATCCCGGTACGCTCGAGAGGCGCTAGAAACTTCAACAACGATCAACAAACATGTTATAGGCGCGAATGTACAATCAATATTGGTATGAAATTGTAAATAAACCAATGCGCGTCGCGCGTGTATCAAAGCGCGACTATTTTAGCGAGTACGTTCTGCTCGTTCCAATTTATCCGCCATTCGAAATCTCGTTGATGCTAGTGTTCCTGGCACACTGGCACGAGGAGGCTCTTATTTCGATCATAAAGCTTAACGAGTACACGTACACAAGTGGATATATAACTAAAACAATACAAAGAGACGCGCGATGCTCTCGTTTATGATCAAGTAGCATTTAATGGGCCATTAGGGAATGGAATTGAGAATGTTTCTCGGGGAAATAATTCCGTTCAGAATCGCATGAGAAATGCGAGACGACATGGCAAATAAAACTTCCGTTCGATTAAATTAAGAATACATACATTTTGTTTCGTGAATAATTCGTCAGAATTCGCTACTTCAACGAATATAAAGATCTAAAATAACTTTGGTATACAGCTCTTGGGGAACCATTTTAATAATGCAACCTAACCTAACCTTAAACAACCTTTTAAAGAAAATGTGAAACTCTCATAATTAATTATTAATGCTATATTTGAAGCTATGAGACATTCTGTACTGACGAATATAAATAACAGAAAACACTTCTTTAGAGTTTTGGAGAACAAAATGGCGGATGACAAGATGTCTCAAGATGGCCGTCGGTCCCACAGGCTGTTCATTTGAAAAGTTTCAAAATTTCTAAATGTCGCATCCTACCGAAAAATGTTTAACAAAAAATTTTAACGCCTGCAAAGGGGAAGTTTTTTGTCAGGTGTCTCCACGTTCGAAAGACAACTCTCCAGATGAAAAGATATATCTCGTAGATTCTTATTTTGTGGGAAGAAAGAAGAAACGTGTGGACCATTTTTATCGGATCTGGAAAAGATTTGCACCTTGAAAATTCGGCTGTGAACTTATGTGGATTTTCCTTTCAAGCATGATTCATGGATTACTTTATGCAAACGAAATGTTTTACATTAGCTACTATTGTATAATCTTTTATTACAATTTATTCAGTTTGGACTACTTTATACTGGAACTGTTTCAATTTAAAAATTATAAATTTAAGAACGAGTCTATACTCGTTTTAGTTTGAGAACGAAACAATTCGCTAGGTTAGGTAACAAGCTCAGCTCCTCAGAAATTGTAGAATACCTAAAGTTTCTGTGGCTGTGACGCCCAGCGCCATCTACCGCAACTTTAAAAATGGACGATTGAAGGATCAAACGATCAACTGAATAATTTCCGATGTTCGTGGATCCTTAAATAGCCTCGGAAAGGGCGGAAGAAGTTAACGTGAATAAGGAATGTGTAAAATTAATTCAGTCTGAAATAAGGTACTGAGGAACAGCTTCGTTAGAAATACCTAAAGTTTCTATGGCTCGGCGTCATCTATAGCAACGTCCATTTTCAAAAATGAACGACTGATCAAACTTCATAGCTCAACATTTGCTGACGTAAATATTTTGTAATAAAAAAAAGTACCTGAATGTCTCCTGTTACCATAGGTATACAAGCTAATATATAAGCTAATATATTTTCAAGAAGCTTACTTTATTTCTCCCCATTTTCCCCTACATCGATATTTTTCTACAAATTCCGCCATGCCACATTGAACACCCTAGGGAGAATCTTGAGAAGTTCTCCGTCCAAGATTAAAAGGCGACGAAACTATTATGAAGCAATCCAGCCACCTCGAATCTACCCCTCCACCCCTCTCTCAGATGCACTAAACTCCTCCCCGGCTTCTATTTAAACTGTCATTGTTATTTCTTCCGCGGTACTATTTCTACCAAGGCTTCCTTAGCCCCGGACCTGAAAAAGATGTCTCGAGAAATTTCGCTCGTTTTCGCCCGGTGCTTTCATTTCCCCCGTCCATTTTGATGGAGCAGTTGAAGATACGAAGGCTGAAAGCTTTCGGCTCGAGATTCCTTTTCAAATCACGGAATTTTACCTTAAGTATTGTTGATGTGAGTATGTTTTAAGAGATAACTGAGGAATGTTTGTTTCAAGTAGAAACCGAGAGAGCGTTTCAAACGGAGCGCAAAAGGTGGACTGCCTGATGGTGAGGAGGGTGGACTATCCAGGGTGAAGGATGTTTTTAGACAAATGTGAGTTCATGATTTTAAGGAACTTGTGAGAGACATTCTTTGATAGTATTGCTATTAGTGTGATGTATGCGCTATGTTGGTTATTTGGGTTAAATCTGCTGTGGGTAGATGAGGTATGAGATTGGCTCTTATGAGAGGGTAGATGGAGGTTTCTGAGGATTTGGTGTTTTTGAGATTTTAAATTTGGAGTTTGGCTAGTTTGCAATATTGGGAAATTTAGAATAGGGCTGCTTCATCATCTCATCTCACAAATCCCACCCATTAATCACATCACCCTCATCTTTATGCAGAAACCAACTTAAGTCCACATTCCAATCCACACAAAAATCCTAAATTACACTTTCAAAAATTTCCAAAACACATCGACCTGAAAGCTATATCCTAACGTCTTCAAACGCCATCTTCGTTGACAGTGTCAGGTTATGTTAGGAAGTCTGTATCGCGATAGACACACAGAATCGAATTTCCATAGCGTGGATTAAATCCCGCGATATCCGTTCCCATAAAAGCGATACACAGGGGTGTAGGGGGGTGAAAGGGCAAAATTGGCGACACGAGGTTCGCGCGGGCCGCGACGAGAAACTTTTCTCGAGCATTGAGGGAAAGTTCGAAAGGAGTTTGCTGAGGCATGCGAAAACCGGCTCTTACGCTTAAAACGAGAGCAATCGGGTCCGTGGCAGGGGTTCGAGAGGGGGTGTTCGGGGGGTGAAAGATGGCGGCCGTAAAGGGATAGAGGGTGGGTGAAAAGGCGGGAAAGAAGGAGGCTGCCGCGAGGGCAGGAAAAAGAAGTAAAAGAGACGTCTCTTTGGGTATCTCGTTACCTCGGTTTTGCCTCGACGTTCCGTCTTAGCCAAGGTTATGTGCCAAAGGATAGATTGAAGAGGAACACAGACACAGAAGGAGGCAGAGAAACGAGAGGAAAAAGAGGGAGCGTGAAGGTGAGGTCGAGAGAAGCAAAAAGCGAAGAAAAGAGCGGCTGATTTAGCAGAGAGTGCACTCTGCGCCGCACAATGGCTCGATGCTACAGTGCCATGCGGTATTCCAGCCTCTTTTTTCACAGGTGTGCCCGTATTCCCACGTATCGTACACTATCGTTGACAAAGTATCCGGACACTTTGCGAGTTTCGAGCGGAACGCACGACGCACTTGCTTGTTATTCTAATTGTAAGTGCGAGGGCGATCAGCTTTTGTAGAGGGCGCGTTTAGCGCGCGAGCACATGTTGGGTAGGTTAGAATAGGTAGCTCAATGTAGTTTAGATATGCTGTGTATGTGCTAGTCTTAAATATACTGTGTATGTACTAGTTTATGTTTGGGTAATGACTAGTACGATTAAGATATTATTACTAATTTTTAAATTATGAAGTTT